AGAAGGAGGAGAAGGAGGAGAAGGAGGAGAAGGAGGAGAAGGAGGAGGGAGAAGGAGCAGAAGAAGAAAAAAACAAAACATGATTATGGGCAGGCAAGAAGAGAATGCAGCTAAGAGTGGAGATTCCGAGAGAGAATCCAGGAGCAGGGAAGTTCTATTGCTTTGTTGTATTTTTGTAAATGTTCCCTAGTGCTTCATCTGACCCCGTCAGCTGGGTGTAACTGAGACGTAAGATATGGTTCAAACATGAAGCAGGAATTCCCACATAGAAGTGGGAGGGCGAGGTTTGTAGCAATGTGCCACACAGAAAGGACCTCATACTTTGGACTATATCCAAAGTTAGAGTATTTTTGTTTGAGTGCTCAGAGCACTTCCAGGACTCATAGACCTATATAGCATCAATTGGGCAGTTCTTTCAATTGCTCCGACCAGAATCATTTGATGCCATCGAAAAACCATATTCCTCGACTCGACCGGCCCTTCGGGTGAAATGGAACTGCAGCCGCTCGACGCAAGTGGCAGCCTAGGTGAAGTGTTTGAGTGATGAGTCGGAGGCCACCGTTTTGAATATGATGGCAGCATAGAGAGCATGAACCCGTTGCACGTGAGCTTTTCTTGTGCGAACTTAACTTGTTGCTTGGTGTCAGACCAGGCCAGCGGCTGGCAATCCAGCCTTTGCGAGAAACTGGCGTGCACAATCCGGTGGGGAAGCCAGCTTGCTTCAGGGGAACGGCTGCCAAGTTTTTGGAGAAGATCCGAAAAAGGATCAGCACATGCTGTTTGGGAAGTCTCCTTTGTTTTGACTGTACACCAGAGGCACCAGCAGCATCCTGAAACAGCGGGTCGTCCAAAAATATTCTTTTGTCAGATGATATTGAGCATATCCTGTACAGACAGCTTGCCAAACCTGTGTATGGAAACAACGCGCGCATAGGCATCGTCTTGGCTGTGAAGATTTGTTTGCTGTATCTAGCACAGTGTTTGCCTAGACCTTTTTAGGTGTGATTAAGACTAAGATACTTAAAGTGCATGTGTGTATTGACAGGGTGAGGCCTCAGCTAGACTTCCTGGAAGAGGACACGTAGACGACCAAACCCATTGGTTTATGCGGGCATGCCACTTTGCAGGTGCTTTTTGGAGTTCCACTTTGGTCTTCCGGAGCAAATGGCCTGCAAGCTCGAGGCGAGCCGAAACATCCAAAGGACAGACGAAAGACAACCGGGGATTTAGACAGGACCAAGGCCAAAGGAATGAAGCTTTCGGTCGACTTGAACTAAAGAAAATAAGTTTAGACACTAAAGAAACTGCATCTTTTTGGGGGACGCCCAGACCATCGACGCCCAGAGCGTGTTCCATCGCCTGTGTGAGCAAACAAAAAGTGCGGCATCGACCGTCGAGGCAGCCGTGCGGCATCGACCGCTCGCCGCTGACGATGCCCGACAGTTGGAGGTGGATGACGCGGACGACGCGGACGACGCGGACAGCGACGATGGTTCCTAACGGTGACATCATGTGGAACATCAATGTGGATGAACTGGTGTCATCAAAGTCATCGGATTCTAAACACCCTTGAGAAGCAAGGGTTTGGACACAGCGAATTGACACAATTGACACTTATGGCTGTTCTTCGAAGTGAAATTACAGTCAACATTAGAGAAGTAACACATGAAGCAAAGGACACCTCACGCAGATAGCATCCATTTTTTTTGCAGGTTGCGGTTGTTGCTGATTTAGTTTTCCTTTTGAGGCCATCATTGGTGTTGGTCCACGAGCCGCTCTGGGTATCGTCACAGAGGTGCTCGGAATTGGCAACCGAAACTGAATGAACACCGTCCCAAGCACGACCCCATCCCGGTCCGAATCGACATACATGCAACCTCTTCGTGGATTCTTGCAGACTTTGACAGTCTTTTGATGGTCTGTTAGAAAGCCTTTTTGCAAGGCTACCATCCTGCCGAAGCTCTTCAATGAGCTCAAGGCATTGTTCCTTTATCAACTGGAGCATGGTAAATGGAACCAAGGTGCTAAGAAGTTTTGCAAACATATTGTTGATGTCCCAGCGAGGCAGCCGGAAGAAGGTTTGAAGTAGCTGAGAAAGCTCAGGCAGAGCTGCTGCAAATTCTAGGCCGGGTTTCTTCCAGAGGATTTTTGTCTTGCTCCTTGAAGCGAGAGGTCAAGCTGAGTCCGTGCTGCCATCACTGTCAGAACCAGCATCAGCACTGTCACCGGCACCAGCAGGGCAAGTCCCTGGCGCGTCAGCTTCATCGTCCTCTTCATCGCTCAACTCGCCCGTGGGCAGACAGGAAGAGTCGGAAGCACGCAGCACGAGACTTAGCCTGACAAATGAGAAATCCTATGTGAAGCCTTTGCCATGAGTCGTTGACCTGCGATTTTTGCAAGAGCTCCATCCATGCACATGCTATAGGTGCAAGCGCAAGCCCTTCAGAAGATTGCTCTCCTCTCGGGCAAGGACTGATTTGTAAGAGTTGTGGGCATTCAAATCACTCAAAAGCTGCCTTGGAAGTGAAACCTCTGAAATGGAAGTGCGAAAGCATCCTCAAGCGTCACATCATCATTTGTTACATTCTTCCTCACTTTGCTCCACTCAACGAGCGAATTCCGTAGGGTGCACCTTTGGCCACTTCTTTTCGTGACCCGTCGGCGGTGGGGCATCGTTTCTTCACAGGGCGCCTGGTGCGGAAGCGGCTGTCGCGGCCTGCACCTGTCGCCGCTGTTGACGTGGACCCTGCAGATTCAGGCGGTCGGTAGACGTGCTTGCCAAGCGAAAGCGTCCCCCCCCGGGGGGCCGCCTTCACCGTGCTTTCGGTCTCGCAGAGGATCTCAGACCAGATCGGAAGTTTCAATATGTTTGGTCGTACAAACGGACCAACACCCGCAACAGATCATAGTGATCTTTAGAAAGCAACCAGATGGCCTAGTACCGGCGGCCAGGAATGTGTCGACATCACAGGTGCTTCGCAGATCGCCAACGCGCCAACAGATCACTACAAACAACAGCAGATCACACGGTAGTGGCAGAGCTCCACCCAAAAATGCCAACACTTGCATCACTTCTTCTCGCGGTGTTGCCAGGCAAGGAGGGCGAGGAGGGCGAGGAGCCTCCACTGAAAGTTCCAAAGAGCCACAGACTCAGCGAGAGAGACATGCAGTGTCGGTTAGGACCACCTGTGTGATGCCTACAACATAGCTGGCTTCATGGTTGATCAATCTCTGATGAGACTGATAGGTCCGTTTGCTGGGTGCATTCAGTTTCATGTTCTTTACAATTTGATATAATTTGATGCTACAATGACTGGTGTAGTTTCGATCCTGCCTAGGTTCAAGGCGTGGGCGGTGTTCCACTGCGATGCGAGAGGAGACACGTTCGCAAGGTCTTAGATGGTGCTTCTTGGGTGGGGCTGTGGCGGCCCAAAGGTGTCCTTATCTCCCTGGGTACTCTGTGGACTGTATAGCCACTCAAGCATGTCAAAGCAGCGTCAGCTTGGAAGGCCATCAGTAAAATCGCATCTATGCCCCAAATCCCAAACACAATTCCTATCTCTTGGGTATTCTTGGTATGAGGTGGCCAACTCTAGCCTTTACGACAAACGCACTTGGACTGCGCTTGTTTTCCCGTCAATTTCAACGAAATGCTTCGTCACTCCTTCGTTCCAGGAGCTTCTGCCTTTGAGCGTCCGTGACCTGAGGGCCAAGGTGCCACCGGAGTTGAACCGTCGCAAGGGCTCGGACCGTTTATTACTATTAACATGTCTTATCATGTTTTATTGTAAGGGCTTCGCCCTGGTGCGGCCGACCCCTATATATTGACCGCATCGTAGCAGCCTAGGTGATGGCCACAGACCTGTCCCACGTGATGGCCACTCCCAGACAAGGCCATAGTAGCTGTAGTAGCAGCCCAGGTGATGGCCACAGACCTCCTGCTGCGCTGTAAAAGGCCGAAAAAGGGCTGGTCACGGCCACAAACTGATCCAGCTGCCCCGCACAAAGGGCTGGAGTCGCTCGCAGGGTTTCAGGGCGGGCAAACGACACCATCTATTTCTGCGCGCAAAAGCGAGAGCTGACCCACTGAGGCCATGAACAGCTGCAGTCCTTTGCTCGCGCCACACAAGGCCCAATGCCGGGCAAACGACAGCCCGTAGCTGCAGCGCGGCTATAGGCGCGGATGCAGGCGCAATGTTGCTGCGGAGGGTTTCAGGGCGGGCAAACGACACCATCTATTTCTGCGCGCAACAGCGATCGGAAAGGGTGCCAGACGGCAGCGGCCACTGTCTAACGTCGCTTTTGGAGCCCTAAGAAAAAGAGGTGCGGAGCCGCGTAGGCAGCCGAGGTGATGGCCACAGACCTGTCCCACGTGATGGCCATTCCCAGACAAGGCCATAGCTGTAGTAGCAGCCCAGGTGATGGCCACAGACCTGCGCTGTAAAAGCCCAAAAAGCGCTCGGAAAGGGTGCCCGACGGCAGCCACTCTCAAACGTCGCTTTTGGCGCCCTATAGAAAAAAGAGGTGCGGAGCCGCGTAGCAACAGCCGAGGTGATGGTCACAGACAAGTCCTGGAGCAACTGGCCGAAAGCAAGTTGAGCCACCGTTTCACCCTGCGGTGTCCCAGGCCCTGCCCCGCCTAGGCGTCAGCTAGGCAGGGGTCGGCGGATCTAAGTTTATTTTATTGTTGTTCTATTTATTGTTTTTTCCGCAAAGCTTTTCGAGTGAGTGATGGAGGGAGTTGGAGTGCCATCGTTACGATTCAAGTGGTCGGAAGCATGCAATGTGTCAGTGGAGAAGTCCGTGGACCCTTTTTTAATCAGAAACAAGTGCCTCTGGGCCACTGGGTGATCAAATTTGGTGCTTCCCAGATCTCCTCTTCCAGGCCAAAACACATGGAGTGCCGTGTGCCATCTTAGTGGGTTGCATCGAAAAGGCCGACCTCGTCGAGGTGGGATCACCAGCTATTCGTGTTTTCGTGTCGGTGGGGGAGATTCTTCATGTTCACACTGTGCAGTAGACAGACATCAGAAATCCAATCAATAGTTTTTCTGGAGGTGCCAACAGCTGCATTGAAATTAAAGGTGTGTCATGGCCTTTGCCCTCTAAGTTTTGCAAATTGTCTGAAGACTTGAAACTGGAGTACAGTAAACTGGAGTACAGTACACTATTCTCTTTCTTGGGGAGGTAGTGAACCCTTGTTTCCTTTGCCAGAAAGGACAACCGTTTCTGAATTTCACACTGAAAAGGCACATGGCGAAGGAAGTGCCAGCTAATCGCCTCTGCGAATGGATATTGATTGGAAAACTTCAAAAGTACCCTAAGCAGCTGCAGCATGCACTTGCATCCGGTGAATTTGCATGTCAGTTGTCCTCATGTAAGGCATGTTTCTTTTTTTCATGAATCTTGTCCGTTGAGCTTTGCTGGAAAGACGTGGGGAATGAGCCATGTAAACGATGGGATCAAAATCATTGTTTCTCCCGACGGAGGTGGACATATCCAGGAAACAAACTGGGACTTGCCTTGCGATTTCTTGTGACTTGCCTGTCTTAAACAACTCCCTTTCCAGGAAAGAAGAACCGAACGTATGCTCGCTCCACATTCCACATCATATGTCATACACTGTATGCGTTTATACTTCATATAATTTATACAATATGACTGTGTGGAGTATCATTCCAACCCATACTTGATCCAGCGCCTACTTACATTGCAGCACTTATCCAAATTGTTTTTGTACCCGAATTGTCAGTGTCATCTTTCGCCAATAAAGAAAGATTTGCTGCATCAATGACCATGTAGTTTTGTTCCTAATCTAGGGCAGCCAGGTGGCCAATCAAACGTAGTCCCAATGTAGATTCTTGTGTGATTGTGCTTTGATTCATTCTTTGCTGACCGTTTGCACGCAACCTGCAGATTTCCTGGATCAATTGTTTGGCATCATGCCACGTGTGGAGATCAAAGTCATTTTAGATTTCATGTGCCCATGGTCCTTTATTGGACTTCGATCTATGCAGCTGGCAAAAGAGCGCTTCAGTGGATTGGACTTCAAGATCGAGTTTCTTCCTTTTGAGTTCGATCCACCTGGAAGATATCCATCAGACGCTTGCTTTTACTATACTTGTCTTTCTGGGCTTTGCTCTTCTGGTTTGTTAGAGCTCCCCTTGTACGGTCTCTTTGATCATTTGTCAGGATGGTACTGACTGGCAGGATTACTGCAAAAGCTTTGGTTCAGCAAAGGCCACATCGCGTCGCCTGAGCGTAGTTGTATGTTCCAAGTGCGAGCAGCTCATGCTGAAAGCTACAACTACTTTGTTTGCTGTCACTAGCGTTGTGTAGTTTAAAGTCTCGGTGCAATCCTCGTTAAAGCACTTGGTCTGTTGCAATAATTTGCGAAGATAGACCAGGCAAAGTTCCTCCTTGAAGAAAAGCTTCCACGAGCTTTTGCCATCGGCAAAGAGCTCGGCATCCGATTTCGCCTGGATCGGAGAATCGTGCATACTGCTGGAGTCTTACTGACCAGAAACGACTATGTCATAGCTGTCACAATGACAAGGAAGCAGAGTGAAACGACTCATCGCCAACCGACTCGTAGTCGAAAGCATCGAGCGAGGTGGATGTGAACACCGCCTTGCTGGTGGCACAGGAGCACGGTGTCGCCGAAGAGTTTGCGGCCTCGACTTTGGCCGCACACTTCGAAGGCTTAGAGAATCCCAATGATCTCAAAGCTCTGACGAAGCGCTTCGAGGCGGTTCGAGCGCTCCGGAATTGGAAGGTTTCTCGTGATATGGAAAAATGGAACATAGCCCGTAAGATGGGTTATCTGCACTACCACTGGACCTTCATGGACCTAGGCCTAGGTGGTCGAGGAAAAGAAACTTGTGCAGCTTCGAGCTTTGGTTGGTCCTTTGCGTTGAGTTCCCTTTGGTTGGGACACCTTCACCTCCCACTGACGCTGCCAGTTTCTCATATATATATATATATATATCCGGTTTTCATTTTGGGAGGCACTCAATGTGGCACCAGAGAAGCTTTTGGAAGCATTGAAAGATCCAGACAAGGAGGGAAGGATTTGCATGATAACATTGCTCCAGATGGGGTTGCGTCAGCTTTGCTAATTTTGCTTGGGATGAAGACTTTGTCTAGAGAATTCTTCCGCCCTGCTTTCAGATGCCTCCAAATCAAGCATGAACGCATGGAACATGTGTGATCAGATTTCCCATCACCCCTTGTTTTGGCCGTCTTTCCAAGCTTGAGGAGCTGCGGAATTGGCAACGAAGCCAAGAGCTTCGGCCATTCCTGCGGAGTGGAGTTCCTCAATTTGAGCCTCTCGACGTCGGTTCAGTCCGTCGCTTCCGAGCTCGTGAGCCGTCCGAGGAGCAGGGCCCGTGACAGAGGGAAACCGAATGGCCTCCAACCCAATATCAATGGCCTCCAACCCAATAGCAATGGCCTCCAACCTAATAGCAATGGCCTCCAACCCAATAGCAATGGCCTCCAACCCA